ATAGCATGATGCTTAGGGTATGAGTAAGTGTCTTGAACAGTTTGTAATCGGGTTTTGAATAAAAGGTGAAAAGGGAGCCGATGCCCCCAGTCGGTTGCTCCCGGTGTTCATCGTAGTTCTTCCTTGTGTTCTTGAGCGTTCCCTTGCTTGTTTGATCTTACCACCGCACAATTGTATTGGTTTATGATCCTGATTCTTTAACATCTGGTATCAGAGCCGCAAATCAACAAAAGTGTGAGTTTTGATCAGCCATGAGTGAAAGGAGTGGGAGCTCGGGCGGTGGCAGTGGCGGTGGTGACCGAGGCGATCGGATCAATTACCCAATGACGACAAAGAACCAACTACACCCGGTTGGTCGATCCGAGTTCAGCGATCATGGAGGATCGAGGAGTGGGGAGATCATGGAGCCGACGGGGAGACGTTGGATCGAAGGCGACGGCGATTCTGCGGCGAGGAAGGCCAAAAACATTAAGGCACGGGCGCATCTGCTCCAGTGCCTGCCCGATGATCTGCTGATGTAGGTCGCCACGAAGAAGACCGGGAAGGAGGTCTGGGATTCGCTCAAGGCGAGATTCGTGGGGGAAGAGCGGGTGAAGGAGGCGCGGCTGCAGACATTGAAGAGCGAGTTTGATGGCTTGAAGATGAAAGAGGAGGAGTCGATCGATGTGTATGCTGGGAAACTAACGAGCATGTCAGTGAGGTATGCAAATCTAGGCGGTTCACTTGATGATTCAGCACTTGTGAAGAAGATGTTTGATACAGTGCCTGAGAGATTCATCAATGTGATTGCCGGGATCGAGCAGTTCTATGATCTCAAGAAGCTTGCCTTTGATGAAGCTGTTGGTCATCCTGAAAGCCTTTGAGGAACGCACCAAGCGGGAGCAAGAGGTGCCAAGTCGAGACATTGGTCAAGTATTCTTGACCCAAAGCCGAGTGGGAGGCTCGGCAGAAGAAGATGGGTGGAGAGAACTCGAGGAGTGGAAGAGGACATGTCAATGACAATGTGGGCGAGGCCGTGGCCGTAGTGGGAGGGAACAGTGGCCGTGGCAATCAAGCGAGATGGAGGGAAAGATGGCTCGGGAAGAAAGACAAGAGTCATATCAAATGTTTCAAGTGCCATCTGTATGGACACTATGCCAACAAGTGTCCAGGAGAGAATAAGAAAGAGGAAGAAGCACACCATGTCAAAGCAGTGGAGTATGAGCCTGCTTTGTCTTTGTTCTTGAATCGATGACATCGTAATGTGCAGATTATCGGTTGTCTGAACCGATCGGGCTCGGAGAGTTTGCTTCAATGAGGTAAAAGTTTTTCGAGTTGTATTTTCTTGGTGATGATGATTCGGTAGAGATGTGTGTACTTAGACAATGGTGCTAGTAATCATATGACTGGTGAACATCATAAATTCAGAAGTATAGATAATTCTGTTAGTGGCAAGGTGAGGTTTGTTGATGGGTCAGCAGTAGAGATTCATGGTAGAGGATCCATTTTGTTCCAAGGTCCTTCAGGTGATCAATGGTTACTGAATGATGTCTATTTCATACCAAAGTTGAAGAGTAACCTAGTGAGTCTAGGTCAATTGACTGAAATAGGACACAGAGTGGTGATGGATGATGATCTGATAGAGGTGATTGAGAAAAGCAAAATGCAAACTATCATGAGAGTTTATAGATCAGTGAATAGATTGTATAAGGTTGAGCTCAATGCTGTTGAACCAGTGTGCTTCCTAGCCAATGTCAGTGATAAGTAATGGCTTTGGCATGGCAGACTTGGCCATGTCAACTTTCGGTCAATTAGAATGTTGGTGGAGAAGGAGTTGGCTGGAGGGATACCCCTGATTGAGCACCTAGATCAGGTGTGTCATTCTTGTCTGACTGCAAAATAGACAAGGAAGTCATTTCCTCAGTGTGCCAAATGGAGAGCAGATGATGCTTTGGAGTTGGTACATATAGATTTGTGTGGACCCATAACGCCAGAGACTCCTGGTGGCAACAAATATTTCATGCTAGTAGTGGATGACAGCACAAGATGGATGTCTGTGTTCTTTCTGAAAACTAAGGATCAAGCAGCAGCTGCATTTGCCAAATACAAGGCAGTGGCAGAGAATAACAGTGGAAATTTGATCAAGGTTGTGAGGTCAGATAGGGGAGGTGAATTTTTATCAACAGCTTTCAAGAGCATCTGTGAAGGAGCTGGGATTGACGGACAATTCACTACACCCTATTCCCCACAACAAAATGGAGTTGTTGAGAGGAGGAATAGGACAGTTATGGAGATGAGTAGATCACTGCTAAAGAGCATGAATGTACCTGGGTGTTTTTGGGCTGAAGCAGTGAAACATTCAGTGTACTTGTTAAACAGGTTGCCAACAAAAGCAATGGGCTACAGAACACCTTTTGAAGGATGGACAGGCAGAAAGCCATATCTGGGGCATCTAAGGATTTTTGGATGCAAAGCAAATGTCAGGCCAGCAGAGCCACATTTGAAAAAAACTTGATGACAGGAGTATTCCTATGGTCTATTTTGGTGTAGAGGATGGAAGCAAGGCACACAGATTGTATAATCCTCAAACCAGGAAGATGGTAGTGAGTAGGGATGTCATCTTTGAAGAAGAGGTTGCTTGGGTATGGAACACTGAGCTTGGAGAAAATTCAGAGTTTTCAGAAGAAACAGTTGGTGAAACTGTTCAGATATTTACTAGAGGTATTGGGGTTGGTGTTAATCCTCAAATTCATCCAGATCAACATTCAGGGGGAGTTGGGAATGCAGGAGATAGTGTTGAGTCTACTGGTGAAGTAGGTGGGTCGATTCAAAGATGAAACCTAAACAACATGTCGATATTGTTGACAATGGACAACGAGGAGAAAATGCAAGTCCAGCTCGGAGTGACAATGTGATCCATGGTGATGTGGACATGATTGACTCAAGTGACCATGATGAAACACCAAAGAGGTTTAGAAATTTGAATGAGGTATATCAAGACACGATGGAGGTGGAGTTAACCTCGGCGGTGAAGTGGAAGCTTTATTAGCAATCATGGAAGAACCATCTTGCTACCAAGATGCAGCTGGTGATGGGAATTGGATAGAAGCTATGGAGAGTGAAATTCAATCCATCAACAAGAACAAGACATGGGAGTTGGTGAAGTTACCAGCTGGTCAGAAGCCAATTGGGTTGAAATGGGTTTACAAATTGAAGAAAAATGCAGAAGGAGAAATTGTGAAGTACAAAGCTAGATTAGTTGCAAAGGGCTATGTTCAGAGACAAGGCATAGATTATGAAGAGGTTTTTGCTCCAGTAGCAAGGCTAGAAACTGTGAGACTGGTCTTGGCCTTGGCAGCTAACAGAAGCTGGGAGGTACATCACTTAGATGTCAAGACTGCATTTCTGAATGGTGAACTCATTGAGGATGTGTATGTGTCACAGCCTGAAGGTTTTAAAAAAAAGGGGCAAGAAGAGATGGTGCTCAAACTGAGAAAAGCTTTATATGGCTTAAAACAAGCTCCTAGAGCTTGGAATGTGAAGCTGGATGGCAGTCTAAAGAAGATTGGGTTCAGAAAGTGTGTGATAGAACCTGCTGTCTACACAAGAGGTGAGGGACTGTCAAAACTAGTACTTGGGGTGTATGTAGATGACTGTTGGTGACTGGAGGAGATCCAAGAGAGATTGAAATCTTCAAGAAGCAAATGACCTCTGAGTTTGAGATGAGTGACCTTGGTTTGTTGTCATTCTATCTCGGGTATTGAGGTAGAGCGGAAGAAAGATTTCATCATTTATCAAGCAAACAAAGCTATGCCAAGAAAGTGCTAGAACAGTTTGGGATGAGTGATTGTAATGCAACAAGGATTCCAATGGATCCTGGTATGAAATTGGATGTTGATAAATGGGTGAGAGAACTGATGCAACAAGGTACGTAAGAATCATTGGCTGTTTGAGGTACCTATTGCACACAAGACCAGATATGTCCTACTCTGTTGGTATGGCAAGTAGGTTCATGGAGAAGCCTACTGTCAAGCATTTCAATGCAGTGAAGCAAATTCTAAGATATTTAAAGGGAACACTGAATCTTGGTTTAGTGTACACTCAGGAGAAGAAGCCAGAAGTGTTGGTGGGTTACATCGACAAAGGATGGAGAGTGATGTTGTGGGAAGAAGAAGTGCAGGTGGCATGGTTTTTATCCGAATGAGGGGCTGATCACTTGGAATTCTCACAAAGAGAAAACTCAGAGTAATCATCTTGTGAAGTTGAGTTCATGGCAGCAACAACAATGCAAAAGCAAGCTCTGTGGGCTTAGAAATTTGCTGGGAGAGATTATCGGGACAGAACCAAAAGCGATAAGCTTCAGTATGTCGACAACAACTCTGCTATAGCATTGATGAAGAACCACATGTTTTCATGGGAGAAGTAAGCACATAGATGTGAAGTTTCACTTCATCGGGGAATGTGTTGAGCGTGAGCAGATTGTTGTCAAGAAGATTCACACTCTTGAGCGTAAGGCGATGCATTGACAAAGCCTATGCTGCAGTCAAGTTCGATGTGATGAAACATTTGTTGGGGTCGAGAACTTGAGCTTGAGGATCATCAGGCTTAAGGGGGAGATTGTTGGCGTAAGCCTGCTGATGTGGGACTTGTGGTAACGTGGATAGCAGCAGAGGCGAGAGCGGGAGCGCAGGATTTCAAATCGGGGATGGCGCGGGAGCAGTTGCTGATGCTGGTGATCGTGCTCTGGACCACGACGTAGTGCAGCAGTGGCGGTTTAGCTAAAAAGTGTCATGTTTTAAATAATCTGCGTGTGTCACAGTGTATGTTAACTATTGGTATAAATAGCATGATGCTTAGGGTATGAGTAAGTGTCTTGAACAGTTTGTAATCGGGTTTTGAATAAAAGGTGAAAAGGGGAGCCGATGCCCTGTCGGTTGCTCCTGGTGTTCATCGTAGTTCTTCCTTGTGTTCTTGAGCGTTCCCTTGCTTGTTTGATCTTACCACCGCACAATTGTATTGGTTTATGATCCTGATTCTTTAACATCCGCCACGAGCCGCTCGTCGTCGAGCGACGCTGGCGGCGTGAGGGGCCGTTCCTGGTGCGCGGCCAGTGTCACAGAGTTGATGAACGGCATGGAGTTGCCGAGCTGTCTGTGGGGGTTGTCCAGGAGCTTGGAGGCGCCGTCGGGCAGCCACCGGGGCGGGTCGGCGCCGTAGAGCGCGACGCGCCGGAACATGCAGCCGGTGCCGACGTAGGATGGCCCCTGGATGCCGTTGAGGCCAAGGGAGGTGGCGTCGAAGAAGACGCGGTTGTGGTTGCAGTACCGATCCGTGGGGTTGACGTCGTCGAAGCGCTGCGGGAACTGGACGAAGGCGGTGTCGTCGCCGTGGCGGCGGTCGAGCATGAAGCACAAGGCGGCGCGGAACGCACCCGAGTTGTTGATGTAGTGGTCGCAGTCGCAGTTGATGATGAAGGGCGCGTTGGAGAGCAGCGCCGAGACGCGCAGCTGCACGTTCATGGCGCCCGCCTTCTTCTGGTGGTCGTACCCCGGGCACTTTTCCCGCGCGTTGTACACCAGCATCGGGAGGCGCACGTCGACGGCGCTAAAGTTAAGGGGGCTGGAGGAGCTCGCCGGCGTGCCAAGCTGAGGTTCGTCGCCGGGATGGTTCAAAATAACCTGTGCCAGAGGAGCGCATATTCGTTACCAAGTAGGCAAGTACTAATATTTTCCAAGTACTGAAATCCATTTATGGCAGTTTGATCCTCATTCTCGTCTGCAAACTGCCATGTACCTGAACAATGGCGGCGTGCTGTCCTTTTTCTTGTGGTTTTCAGCCGGCTCGGTCCAAGTGCCAGGCCAATGCGTCCCATCGGCCATGTACGTCGCATGGTCACCACCTCGTTTCGCGTCGTCACGGTGGTTCGCCTCCGCCGACCTCTGTGGAATGTCGGTGAACAGCGCTTGCACCCGAGCCTTGAACTCCTCGTACTCCTGGCGAACGCGCCGACGGTCGCCGACGAACTCCCCCGGCGCATCACCAGCGTACGGCGCGTCCGCCTTTGCCGCGAAGTAGCTCTCAGGTGCCCTCGGCTCGACTCGGTGCTTCCGGCAGAACTGCGTCCACAGCGCGGCGAACCTCGCGGTCTCGAGCAGCGCCTCGTAGTGGACGAGCGACCCGCCGTCGTCGGAGAAGTACGTCGCGTGCCTGTCCACTGGGTAGTCCGTGGCGAGGATGGATAGGACGGAGTTCATGGTGCACAGCACGGGCCCGTCCACCGGGTCCACGGTGTTGATGAACACGTCGACGCCCGGGAGCTGGCTGGAGCTGCCACCGCCGCTGGGAGTAGGAGGATCGACGTGTTGGTTGAGGAGCGCGAGGTTGGGGACGCGCCGGATGGGGACATGGGGTTGAGCTTGGACGCCTGGTTCAGCAGCCAGCTGACGGCGAACCAGAAGTCGCCGACCACCGTGACCCACCATAGGACAATGCTGTCCGAGTCCCGGTGCCTCAAGCGCCAGGTGAAAAACTGGACGATGACAACCAATCTGGCCAAGGCCAGCAACCTGTTTAACGGGAATGGGAAAAGAAAGGATATTAGAAGATGAAAAGTGTATTTAAATTTCTGTTAATTTTTGGTCAATTTCTAACGGTCAGATAACATTCAATAAATCTCGTTGATTAAACTATATATATGTAGATATATATAGTGGCAAAACCTCCTATACTTAGCAAAACAAGTCCGGCTCTCAACACTAATTTAGGGATCAGACATCGCACGACACCCGTCGCGCAATAGGGGAGCGCGTGACCCAGCCCCGCACGCGCGACCAAGCACAACCCGTCGTCCTCGCGCCCTGCCCCCGGCTTCCACCACTGTCGTCCGCACGGCTCCCACCGCCTCGTCATGCAACCCGCCTCACAGCCCCGCCCCTCGACCCCATCCTCCCCTAATCACAGGGCAGGTCGCTGATGAGCTTTGCCACGACGCCCCCGCTGGCGTCGGTCTCGGCCCCGCCCCTGCCCCCACCCTCCCCTAATCACGGGGCAAGTCGCCGGCGAGCTCCACCGTGATGCCCCGCCGCCAGACCCACCCAACCGCTGTCTCGCGCCCACCTCCACCGCCGTGTCGTGACTACTGCCCCCAAACTCCCTTCTAAGGCCCCCGGTGAGCGTTCTTCTTCCTCTTCGGTGGGGCGTGTGGACGCGATAACTCGCTCCTTCTTCCTCTCAGTGGGGTGTGCGGGTGGCTCGGCGGGGAGGAGGGCAGTAGGATGGGCCGGCCTGCGTCATGCGGTCGTGAGTAAACTTTCCGTAATTTAGGGCAGGTTGTGATGCTGATTTTGGACATTGAAGTCCCGTGGAAAACCGATCCGGCTAAGCTTGGGCCAGAACGATTAAAATCATTTTTATTTTACATTTTTTGAGCAACAATCATTTTCTTTGGTGGACGCCTCAACCTGACTTGGGCCAGATTTTGCAGGCCAAATAGAGTTAATTGCCCGAGTCGGGGACTAATTTTGGGCCTGAAAGAAATGCGGTCTTTTGTGGCCGTGGTTCACAAAATGCGTAAACACAACGATTGCTGAACGGCAATTATTTTATTCTAAAAAACAGTTTTTTTGTGAAGTAACAGGATATGCATAACTAAATTTTTAGAACGGTCATGCTAACCTGCATGACATGATCAAGATGAAGTGAGTTAAACGCTTATTAGTGTGACCAAAACGGTGGCATGTTTATTTGAGCAACAGCGCTTTTGGGCTTTTAAGCTGGCTTTGTGTCTTCTGGTTGTTGGTTCTTTTGCTATTATTTTTATAATAATATAAATTAATAGCTTCTCGGCACATCAAAAGTCAGAAAAACTTCCCAAAACGTACTTTTTAGCCTTTTAGCTCATTTTCTCAGTAGCCAACTTTCTAGATTTTAAAAAGCTACTAGCAACAACTAGACTATTTGTTTTATATTAGCTTCGAGCTTTTGGCCGATAGAAAAGCCGAAACAAACATGCCCTTAATAATTAGCCATCTGGAAACACCCCATTAGTCGGTTGCATTACCTTCTATCATAATTGAGTGTATCATCATGCAACTCTGAAACCTGAATTCCGAACAAGAAAACATTTCATGTTTAGCTACCCTTTCGGGTGTAAAGGTATGATGCACTTTATTTCTTTCCCAATATTTTCCTTTATATTAGTTTGGTCTTTTTATATCAAATATTTTTTAATGTATATTGTATTCCTTTTGTTTTTATAAATATGTGATTATCAATGTTTATATTGGAGATTCTTTAATGCTGTAAGATCTCTCTGCATCTTATATGGGTCAATTGGTGTTCAAACTTTATGGTTTTACTAGAAGATATGGCATTGAGGGCTTTAGTAGTTAGCCCTGAAATCCAAAGGGTAGAGATGTTTTACTAGTCATAGGGAACCAGAAGACCCTGAAGAGGCCATTTATTTTACTTTTATGATTTATTTTTTCTAGACGCAACCGTAACGTTAGCACGGGCAATGTACTAGTCATAATTGAGTGTATCATCATGCAACTATGTCTCATGTCTTATCCTATAGGCTAATCATTCTTCTCTCCCTATATATACAATCCTCTCGTTGGCATCGCTTATCATTCTTCTCTCCCTATAGGCTAATTAGCTGAATTGTTGAAAACTACCTTTGTGGACAAGGAAATGGACAAAATTTTAGACCGTGTTTGCTGCTACTGCTGCTACCACAATAACCGTCAAGAGAGAATTGAATTAAACTTTGTGGACGGGTGTATTTTGAAATTTTCCTTAACTATAAGGATGTCAACATTGGGCAAATTTTCTTTCTTAGCACAGGCATTCAATTTTGGGGCCACACTGTTCCAATTTTTTTGTGTGTGGCCACACGCTTTAACTTACTCGGTAGGATCTTTTACTCATTTTTATAAATCACTAACGTGTGAGATCTGACACCTATTGTGAATGAATTATATATATAACCGCCTTATTGTCCAACTCCATCTCAACGTGGGACGCATTGTGCAAGATGATGCTACGTGTAACATCAAATGGGGTCGAGTACAAAACAAGACATGCATGAGCACATGTCATGTGAAAACTATGTTCGTGTTGGAAACTTAAAAGTTTTTCTTAAAAACTGTACATGCATGAAGGTTTCTAAAAATCATAAAAATTCAGTATTGGTAGATGCGGGTTTGTGGTATTCAGCCTATTTGCTTCGGCGCAGCGGATCCTGATCTATTATATATGCATGGTATGGTACTGTAGGAGTAGCTGGTGGTATGGTGCTGGTGCAGTTGCAATTACAAATCTATCTGTCGCTGAAATCTATGGGCCTGTTTATGGTGCCCATCATTCACCTTCGTACATGACCCCATTTGAAAGATTAAAAAAGATATCTGTCGCTGAAATAAACAAATCTACCCTTCGCGTACGGTCCAGTGACTTCAGAGGCAATCACGTGCAACGCGTCGTCTTTTGCACTTTTCTCCACACGTACTACGCACCTTGTCAATGTCTCACGCGCGCTGAAATGCTTTGCCCTAGTTCCCGACCAAAATCCTAAAAAATGCTACAGTATCCATCACATCGAATCTTGCGATACTTGCATAGAGTATTAAATGTAGATAAAAAAAAAATTAATTACACAGTTTAGTTGGAAATTGTGAGACGAATGTTTTAAACCTAATTAGTCCATGATTGAACACTAATTATTAAATAAAAACGAAAATGCTACAGTAGCCCAAATTTCAAACTTCAACCAAACTAAACACGAGCTTTATAGTGCTGTTTTGTAAGGCCTTTGGGTCACTGCGAGCAACATGCCGTCCTTTTTTTTTTTTTGATAAATGTCTGCTGACACCACTAGTTCTGAATCACTACTTCAGTTCTTGAAAAATAAATGTCGTTTCCGACCGGAGGCATGTGCAAGGAAAAGTTACTTGTCTGAACGCCATCTATATATTTACGACAGGACGTATCACGTACTCCTAAACTTGCATCTTACTTAGCTACTTGCAGAAATCAGGCCATGTTTAGTTCCTACCGATTCCAGAATTTGGTACTATATAAAAAGAAGATTCCCCGTTACATCAAATTTATAGTACATGCATGGAGTACTAAATGTTAACGAAATCAAAAACTAATTGCATAGTTTGGTTGTACTTTGCGAGACGAACGTTTTGAGCCTAATTAGTCAACGATTGGACAATTATTACCAAATAAAAACAAAACGCTACAGTGTAGCTACAGTGTTCGTTTTTCAGGCGGCGTCGAATCAGGCAGCGAACTAAACGCGGCCTCAATCCACATTCACAGACATCGTTAGCAACATGGGAAGAAAATAATGCACATTGCCTTTGAAATTACTAGTCAGCTACCTTTTCCGATTAACCAAGATCATCGATATTGCAAGTGTGAATGAATCTGACGAAACTCCTGACAGCTTTATTACCAAACTAAACTACCAATAATATCAGCCGTATAACGTACCTGTAAGTTTGCAGGATGATCCCTTTAACCTTGAACGTCTGGTACAGCAGCGGCCGGCGGCAGTCCTCGCCGCCGTGTTCCTCCGCCGCCATTTCGTCCTCGTTGTCGACGGGCACCAGCAGTGATGAAGCCAGAGCAAATTAAAGGGAAGCTGTACTTTGACTTGTGGGTGCATAGATAACTCTAATATGAGGGGCATGTACGGTGAAATTTTAATCAAATTCACTGTTTTTTTCATTTTTTTTGTGGTGCAATCTGCACCCCGTACACATAACATACCTTCGCCCCCTGGCACCTAGTACTTCTTCTTGTCCTTGCTGATGGCGCCGGCCCGCCCCGTGCCGTCGCCGTTGGCCATCAGCAGCGGGTCGGCGAGACCGCCATTTCCGGCTGCTGCCGCCGGCGAGAGCATGCCTTCCATGGCCAGGGGCTCTGCAGTACTCTGCTACTACCAGCAGCGCGCTACCTTCCTAGTTCCTGTCCTCAGCTCTACGAGACTATAGGCGCTGAGGAATTCATATGCAGTAGCTGGACGACGCACCTGCGCGGAGGAGCGCTTCGACGCGGATCGGAGCTCAGGGAGCAAGAGTACAGTACAAGCCACTCATTTTATAGGCACAGGGAAACACGTGATGAGCAGGCTACACGGCGGGAGGAATCTGATCGAGCTGCGAGACGCCGACACTCAAACGGAGGGAGCGTGCGTATCGGTTGAATAAAGTATAAGCATCAAAATGGCGCACCTTCGTTCTCATCATCCATTAAAGTACAGTTTTCCAAAATTTTGAAACTTTGCACACTGCTCTAGATCTAGGTGGAGTTATGTTCTACATAGATGGAAAGTTTTAACTGCTTTCAGGTTCCAATTCTTTCTGACAAACGCAAGAGCACCTTAGAAAACGGTCCGGAGGGTGTAAATACAAGGACTCAAGAGCGACTCATGCAACCCAATCTTTGGAGTTTGGTGGAAACTGGAAAGTTA